AGGAACACGGAGAAAGTGAGAATTGTAGTTCCCTCCGTGGGCAGGGTGGGAATCAGAGCTTGGAGACACATCCCCACACCCTCAGTGATCTGGGTTTGGGTGCCCCCATCCCACATCCTCACACTGCCAGCCCACGGGCAGGACGCTGCCCATCCAACCCTTCCCCTTCCACCAAGGGGACTTGCTTGGCCGCGTCCCCAGGCAGGCAGCAGCGCTTCCCAAAGGGAAACTGAGGCAGGGAGGGTGGTACATCACAGGAGCTGCTTTCTAGAGCTGGCAGCAGGTCCTGGGCATAAGGCAGAGCCCGTGAGCCCTGTGCCAGCACTGAGTCCTGATGGACACCGTGCGTTGCCCATGTCCAGAGGCAGAAGGCAATTTGGGTGTTTTTTTCCCTCTTCCAAGGAAAAGGTGGATGAGAGGCTGGAAACGAGACAGTGATGTGCACTCACAGCCCAGTCCACCCTGTGCCATGGGCTGATACCCCAGCATGGGCAGCCAGAGGGGGAATCTGCCAGAGTGGGGAACCTGTCAGAGAGCAGGTATAGATGGGATATTGGGAAGAGGAAACCCTTGGCTGTGAGGGTGGGGAGGCCCTGGCACAGGTTGCCCAGAGAAGCTGTGGCTGCCCCTGGATCCCTGGAAGTGTCCAAGGCCAGGTTGAACTTGGAGCAACCTGGGCTAGTGGAAGGTGGACTGAGATGACCTTTAAAGGTCCCTTCCCACCCACCCAAACAGTTCCATGGCTCTGTCTGTGCCAAGGACAGACAAAATGCCGGCCTGAAGCACTTCCCTTCCCCTCCAGCTGTGGCTCCGGGCTTTGCCGGGGTGCCCAGGGCTGGTCAGCGTGGGAGGAACGGCAGAACTTGATCTCCGAGTGCATTTGCTTCCCAAATTCCTCCCGTCAGCTGCCGGCAGTGGGTCCCCGCGGGGCCCTGGCTCCGCAGCCTCTTCCCAACCCCAGGACTCCCGGCTACAGGCATCTCCAGCGTGTCCAGGCAAATCCCTCCCATGCGGAGCGGGGATTCCCACAGCGGGAATAAGGCTTCATCCAGCGAAAACATCCAGCAGATCGGCTCCCTGCCTCATCTCATCGCTCAGGAATCCCGAGGTCAGGAGAGGCCGGCGAGTCCTCCCGCGGCACAGCGGCAGGCCGGGAGCGCGGGATGCTCATCCTAATTTCCCTGCTGTCACAGCGCCTGGGAGTGCGGGATGCTCGTCTCAATGTCCCTGTTGTCACAGCACCCACTGCCATCCCTGTCCTGTCCCCACAGCCACCTCATGCCCCCAGTGTCATCTCCTGTCCCCACCGCCCTTGTTCCCACAGTCATCCCGTGTCCCCACATCACTCCCTGTCCCCAGTGCCACCGCCCTGCCCCCGGTGCCACCTGTCGTCCCCACAGTCACCTCAAGTCCCCACTACACCATCTGCCCACCCCCAGTGCCACCCTCTGCCCAGTGTCACTGCATGTCCCCAAGTGCCTCCTCATGCCCCTGCAGTCACTCCCTGCCCCGTCACCTATAAAGTGTCCCTGCCCCACCCCGTCCCCCTGTCACCCCGTTTCACACACCACCCCCCGCGTCCTCCTGTGTCAGTCTCTCCCCTGTCAATCCCTGTCACCCCCTCCCGTCACCTCCCCGGTTCCAGGCCATCCCCTTGCCACTCTG